TGCGGCCATGGCGGCCCCTGTGTGAAAGGGCGGCCATCGAAATACTGGCCTCGAGGAGGCTGTTCATGAGGCGGGGTAAAACACTTCGTAGGAAAGGAAAGGAGGGAATGCGATGCTTACAGAGGACTTCTGCGGGAGTATCGGGGTATGCCTGAGGCTCCCAGGACCTTCTAAAAGAAATGATTTGTCTCCAAGTACTGTTTTTTTCCTGGAGATGCCGCAAAGAGGCAACGAGTCTCTCTCCGGAGACTATAAGCACTCCCACTTTGAAAGTGGGGGTAGGTTAGTGCATTTCTGGTTGAATACCAAAACAAATCCAAGCAATAGGTTTTACAAACTTCTCCACAGCTTCTTAAGCAAGAGGCGTTGTCTGTAACTCTTCATGGCGTCTGTCGTCATAAAATAGCGTATAGAGTTTAAAAGAAAGGGTCTTCTGAAAGAATTCTGTATAGGCTAAAGCATAGTTAAGCACGTACAGGACACATTTTTCCTTATTTGGGAACTTTTTTTTTGTAAAAACCTACCCTTAAAGTTTCTTGTCTTGGTTATGTCTGTCCTCTCACGGTACCAGTAGCTGTTTCAGTATGATGACCTAACCTAAAGCAGGAGGTGTTGGTGCTTACCCCTTTAAAAATATCTTTATGCTATATAAAGGAGTAAACCACTTGATGTGGTTTTACTGAAAGGTTTGTAGGTGGGTACCCCCCATATGAAATGCTTGACTGATAGGGTTATGAATCACTGGAAGTTCAGTATTAGCTGCTAATTTAATTTCTTTGTGTCTTTACCCTGCAGTTCCTACAAAAAAAAAAAAAAAAAAAAAAAAAAAAAATCCTCCCTTTGTTTCTGATTAGCATCATTCATTTATGCAAAAATATCAAAAACTGTTTGATTTCTCTAACTAAAGAGAATTTTATTATGAAAGGTTTGTAGGTGGGTACCCCCCATATGAAATGCTTGACTGATAGGGTTATGAATCACTGGAAGTTCAGTATTAGCTGCTAATTTAATTTCTTTGTGTCTTTACCCTGCAGTTCCTACAAAAAAAAAAAAAAAAAAGGAAAATATAATCCCTGAGTTTCAGATTAGCATCATTCATTTATGCAAAAATATCAAAAACTGTTTGATTTCTCTAACTAAAGAGAATTTTATTAATACATAGAGACATTCCATATAGGTTTAGAAATGTTCTTGCTACTATTGTGTACAGAAGTTGAAAGAAGTTTTTAGATTATTCCTACATTTTGATCTCTGTGAGAAGGTAGGTGACTTCCTCAAAAGTCAAGCTCACCAGAAATCTAAGCAGCATTGAGACAACAATTGCTCATTTTTCTTTTCCCAACCAAGTAAACCACACAATTTAGCTTTTTATTTCAAATAAAATTCTTCATATATGTGTCATTTATGTTGCTTGTTCTCTTGCCCCTGTTACCCACAGGGTGAGAGTACTGTGAGACAGACAACGGTACTGGCTAAATGTCTCTTAGTTTCAAAGGTTCTTGTAGTTTACACAAGAGCTGCCTCCTCGAATTTGAGGAGTACCATGCCTTTATTAGTTTGATTGTCATTCATTTCACAGTTAAGTGTCACTCATGGAGGCTGATTGTCTTGCAGTCTCATTTGGTTGCACAGCCATAGGCAGATCACTTTTGAATTCTATAGTTTCATTTCATGATTGTCCTCCCCTATGTGTAATCAATTGCACGGACTGTAATAATTTTATAATATTGTGCTTACTGCACTGACATAAAAGACAAGCCAGTAAATGAGGGAGATGCATGTTTTACAAAGAATCAGAGTTGCTGATGAAAATTATCTGCAAGTTTGAGGTCTTAGACGAGAAATGGTAATTTTGATTTCAGGCAAACAATTTTCTGCTAGTAAGGTGTTTTCAGGTTGATCGTTATCTAGTAGAATATTGCTTCCCATTTTGGATCACACATTTTCTTAAGAAAAAATGTAGCATTTAATACACCTGTATCTATTCTGGCTGGTGTAGTTTCATGTTATGTAGCAGATGCAGTATTGGTGATCTATGCAGATGGCTAACATGCTTTTCTTTCTTTCCTAGCAGTGTTTGGAAACATACTCTCCCCTCTTTGTAAGCCAAGGGAACAGTAGTTTGTACCTGGTTCAAAAAAAAAAAAAAAAAGTGGGAAAGGCTTTTAACTTTTATATAGTTCTGTGGCTGAAATGTCAGTTTCTTTTCATTGTCCTTTTTGTTGTGGGTTTGCTGGAGGTTTTTATTGTGTGATTCCTATATGGCATTTGTTTGTGAAAGTGAATCTTTGGAAATGTAAATATTTTTGGTGAAACATCCAAAGTTTTTTTTTTTAGTGTTACACAGAGATTAGGATGGGAATATGAAATTGATCATGAATTCTAGTCCCCAGAATAGTAGTTTTAATGGAGCCAATTCACTGAACCAAATATATTTTCCAGAAGTCTCTTAGATTGCAGAAACAAATGGACTCATCATTAATTAAATGTTAGCATCGTGGTGATAGTTTTGTAGATGTAGATGGTTTGCATATATTTAAGTTTCATACTTCAAAAAGGACACAAACTACAATTTTGATTAGAAGGCCTGGGTGCTGTTTAGTAATGTATATTCACGTAAGCTTCAGGACAAAATATTGTTTAACATTCAGTTCTTTTTTCTGCGTTGTAGAAATACAGTGTATTTTAAACATGGGCAAGTGTGACTGCAGACTCTCGACTATTGTGCAAGCAACTGCAGCTTCTGCTATCTTCTTCATTTAGAAACAATTGTTTTCATCTCAGAATTTGATTTAAATTGTTGAGCTTCACTGAACAAAGACAGGATAATATATTAGTGTAAAGTCTGGTAACATTTTGGCAATCCTTCTTGTATGCAGTGCAGAGTGCATGAAAACCTGTTACTTCATTAATTAAAATATACATAGAATCAGTAACCTGATTCTTGATATCAGAATTAGTAGTATGATTATGCTACAGTATTTGCTTTATTTCAGAAACTGATAATCATATTCTTTATATATATATACACATATACATACATATATTTGTGTATACACACTCCAGAAACAAAAAACCCAGAAGACCCTTTCCACTTCAGATGTGCCAATTCAAGTGTCTTCTGCCCCAGAATTCTGGCAGTCTCTGAAGGACTTGCTTGCAGTGGTTTGAGATAGTATTCCCCTTTCTGTCTGCTTTTTTCCCCATGGAATTCACTGGGTGCATGTAGATACGTCAGCTGCTGCAATTTACAGTCTGCTGTATTAACTTTAATAATTGATAAAGGTGTGTTTGAAGTAATATGTCATTCTGTGAGCTAGTTTGAAGCAAAAACACACATGCTTGTCCACCATCATATTACAGGTTTAGTAATCTCCAGCAAACATTTGGGGAAATAACACCAAACTCTTGCAACTATGTCCTTTAGACTCCATCTGTCAGAGACCCTAGATCAATTTTGCATAACTTACATTCCTCAAGAGCTACATCTCAGAGCTGTGATCCAGGAAATGAGATCAAACAATTAGGAACTAGCTCAATTAAAAATACTTTTAAACTGCTTTCCCTTTGTATATTTTGGTTTCATTCAGGGACATGGGATTAATTCTTTCTACAAATTGTACCTCTATATAAAATATTTATTCTTTAGAATATTTTATATATTTGTAATATGGAAAATAAACCTGAATTTTGGATTAGAATAATTTCCTAAATATTTTTTTCATCATTTGTTCTGCTCTTCTAATACTAATTAAATCTGAACATTAGACTTTATTGTATTCCATAACCTGCTCTCTCTATGTTTTATCTGAATTTTCTTCTTCAAATTTTATTTGCTTGAGCCCTTCTGACAAAAATTAAAGGAAGAAGTGTGCATTGGGAATGATACTAGGACTAACCAAACAATAAAACCTCTAGCCGTGACGGAAAGATAGCTTGCTGAGATGCCATTATAACATAGTTGGCTCTGTAACTTCGTGCACAAGAATTTCACATTTATTGTTTAGATCTTAGGATAGGGGGAATTCTGTTACTGGCAGAAGTATGCCCCAGACAGAGTGTAAAGGTGTCATGTTAAAGTGTCAACAATCACATTTAAGGAGCTTACTTGAGATAAAGTATCATATGCCTAACGTTCTATAGTGCTTGATTTACACAAGGGTCTAGGGTAAGTTTAGGGCCTTCTTAAAAGCCATATACTTTGTTTATGCTAGATTTTCTTTGTTAGTGAAGATACATGTTCTTTAAATGTAGATCAAATAAACAGGAGTATATGTATTGCTAGGGGAAAAAAGAATATGATAGCCACTTACAGCTGAAAACTCCAGGTAAAATGAAATACAATATGTTGTGTTTCAGATGCCAGTGCATGAGGAGTCAGCCATGCTAAAATTCGTGTAATTAAATCATTACAACTGGAAAAAAGGTAAGAAATACAAGATTTCTAGAAAAAAAATTAATTGGGATTCATGTTGTCTACACATGAATAAAAAAAAATTTGAGATGTAGAAGAAAGAAGAAAAATAGA